GAAGTCATCAGATATACAGGGAAACATCAGAGCTTTTGTATTTGCATTTATTCACCATTTAACTTATTTTGTCTTTTTGAGACAGGGTCTCGCTATGCAGCTCGAGCTGGCCTTGAGCTCACTCTGTGGCCCAGGAGGGTCTGGGACTCCCAGAATCCTCCTGCTTCAGCTTTCTGAGTGCTGGGATTTCATCAGTCTCTGCTACTTCCCTCCTTTTAGGTAAGAGTTTTTCCAGCAAAGAGAGCTTATCAGGGGGAAAAAAGGCCATTTTAAAGAAAGTTTATCTTAAATTCAATGATGAGATGATCCTTTTCAAACAGTCTACACTAAATTGACATGTCTTCATTTAGCTCACATTGATGTCTCCATGCTTGAAAATTTGACCTGGATGAGAGGTGAAGTTGCAAGGAATGGACAGCTTTTGGAAGCTGCAGTGCTCCAACGAGCCTTACATCCATACACAAGGAAAGTCTTCTTTCGAGTAAAATCAGCCTGGTCCTTCTGAGCTGACAATGATAATGTCTCCTGGCTCTAGCACTGGTTCTGGGTCTCCCTCACCATGGAATATTATCTCCCAGCCACCTTTCATGCCTTCGTCACTATGAATCTCTAGAATCTTTGCTCTGTCTTCCTTCCATAGCTCTTAAACCTATCCTTGGGGCTGATATGTTGCCCAAGGACCGGGCACTCCATGCACCCAGACTGAATTTGCTGAACCATTCCAGGTCTTATCTGATGAATACTTATTTGCATTCTAGCACCTTGGCAGTTGAGACACTCCACAGCTCCTCTCCTTACCACCTTGGACTTCACATTTGTCACAAATCACATTCTTTGGCAGAGCCAGTTTCCTTGTGACACCATTATATAAATCTTCTAAGGTAACTGAGGACTGATGCACCACATTTTTACCTCTCCTTTCTCCCTGCATCCTTTCTTTTTATTTATTTATTTATTTATTTATTTATTTATTTGTTTATTTATTTTGGTGGAACCAGGGATTGAACTCAGACCCTTGTGCTTGCCAGGGAAGCACTTATTCCACTGAGCCATCTCCCCAGCCTCTGCATCCTTTCTCCTCCTCCAAAAAACATCTCAAAGATATCCACGGGGGACCCCAAACTGCTACCTGCTCTACCCTCCTTAATTCTCCTCCTTTGTTATATAAGTTCCTTTTCTTGGCATCAGAGAGAACTTAATAAGCTTGAGAAATCAGTTTAAACTTTTCTTCTTCATTTAGATTCTAATCAGGGTGGTACTTCAAAGCCAGTTTCCTATAAGCCTTTTTCAGTTGTTCTTGGGTGGCACTGGGTTTGACCCCAAAACATCCTCTCATCCTTCCTTCAAGTCTCAGCACAAATCCCTCTTACGATTTTAATCTACATGCCTGGGCCTCCTGGACTCAATAGGCAGGACTTTTGGAAGATGATTGGAAAATGGAGGTGGTATTGCTGACATGGTGTTAGAAGGTCAGGTCTTCACAGAGATGGGTTCCTGAGGGCATTATCTGGAAGGGTTAAGCCCCTTCCCTTCTCTGCTTTCAAGCCATGGCCTGAGCAACTCTCCTCTTCCAGGCCCTACCACTGCAATGCTTCTGCCCTGGTAACAACCTACTAACTAAATCTACGCAAACTGCGAGACAACAAATCTCTCCTTTAAATCGCAAGTGTCAGGTATTATGTCTCAGGAGCAAGAAAGTGACCAAGACGAAGAAGGAGCCTCTGACTGCATCTTCCAAATGTCAGTCCAAACACTGAGCACAAACACTGAATAACCAGGTTCTGGATCCCCCCTTTCAGCTGTGCCTTGCACACAGATTGTGCTTAATATTCCTGCTTACTGAGTAAGGCTGTTGTGCATCTCAAGCATATCCATCACCCATTATTGAACACATGCAATACACAAATGGCCACTTTTGACTTTAACTCCTTATTTTTGCTTACGCCCATCACATGTCTCTAATATTACATGTCCACTACATACACAGAGCCAAGGAATGACTTTGGGAAGGGTAGCAGCTCAGCATTATCAGATACAAACCTGACCTTCTAGGAGTTACCATTTGCCATGATATGTGTGTTAGACACACAACTCATGTAACACAGCATTCAAATGCACAAAATTGAAAGGCAGTCACAGGAAGTCTTCCTGGATCCTGTGAGGGAAGGAGAGAGTACTTTGGTTCCCTGAGGAGTGGAGCTGACAAATAGACATGGTGAATTTCCAGGAAAGGAGACAGGAAGAAGCCAAGAACCACATGCATTTCTTCAAGTACCCCCAGCAAAGTCTATGCAGGAAGGTGTGGGCACACGTAAGCTCGGTAGCTGATGCCTTTCCTGTTGCTTCTCACACTGTGTAGCAGTCATATCTGTGCACATATGCTCACATTCATAGTTCACATCCACAAATGTGCACATCATGTGTCAGAGCTCCTGCACAGCCTCTTGGAGGAAAGCAGAGTGCTTGGTGCAGATGGAAACACAGGCCTCACAGGCCCACGACCGCACCCAAGCCGAACGTCATGCTAGCAGGTGGATGCTGTCAAAGGCCAAAAATCAAGCATCACACACAGGTGGGACTGTGCCTTTCTGAGGAAGAAAGAGGAAGTGATAAGAGCTCGCAGACACCATATGGCCTGGTGCGAGTGGGCTCCCATTAATCTCCTCAGGTGAGGAGGCCACCCCCTTTCAACACATGTTCCCACATGTGAGAACCTTTGCATGAGATTCCTGGGGTCAGCTTCATGTTATCTATGTCACATGAGCTTGTCCCTTCACACTGACCACATGTGAAAATTAAATCTCAATATCTAACCTATGGCCAGTGGGCCAAAATGGTGCTTAGGTGTATTTAACTCTTGTTGAGTTTCACAAGGGCTCACAGTTAAGAGCTTGCCTTGAGTGCCAAAGCAGACTTGGATATTTGAGCAATGCAAAAATTAGGACTTTGGTGACTCTTGAAATTTTTTGCATAATGAGATGCACATGAGTCTTTTGGGGGCCAAGGTAGGACGTTATGGTTTAGATGTAAAATGTCCCCCAAAACTCACATGTGTTCAGAGGTGGGGCTTTTGCAAGGTGATTGGATCATGAGGGGACTGTACTCATCAGTTGATTAACCCAATGCTGAGTTCACAGCTGAATGTGCTGTTATGGGTGTGGTCACTGAGTGGGTACCCTTGTCCCCAGCTCATCCTTCTCACTCTGCCTCCCAGCTCCCAAAGGAAAGCAGCTTTCTTTTGGCAGGACTTTCCATGCCATTTCTGCCCTGAAGCCCACCAATTCTGGACTAACCCTTTGAAACACAAGCCAAAAATAAACTTCTCCTTAAGCTGTGGATGTTGGGTGTTTTTGTTCCAGCAATGAAAAATTCACTCCTACAACTGTAAGATTTTAAAAGTTCATTTGGTTCATGATGTAAATCTACCAACAATTACATGATTTATGAACATCTTGCTAATAAATATTTTGATAGACATTTAAATTATGTTATGTGGGAGGGATATACATCAGCAAAGCAGAAAAATAACATAAAGACCTTGATTAGAATCATTCATACTAGCTACCACACCATTTATATCATCCCGATGAACATGAGGTATAAATATTGTCATCAGAGAGCAAGGCTCTTCTTACCCAGATGCAGTTTGTGCCCTGAGGAAAAACCACAAAATATTCATCAAATAACAACACATGAATGGCTGTGCTTAGGAAACAGCATAGACATTTCCTATACAACTAGAATGATAAGTGAGAAATAGCTCTTTCACTTTTGTTGGGGATAAATTAAAATTATCTCATGGAGTAGGCTAAAATTTGCAACTCACTTGGGTCCTCTTCTGTCCCTCTTTTGGACAGGAGTTTTCTCTCCCCCAGTAAGTATATTCTGCTCTTAACCTCCATTGTTCCTAAAATTCATCCTTTGGTTTTAGAGAACACGAACTTGTCCCAGGCATCTTTCAGGTTGGAGTTTTATTTCCCTATATTAATGGTGGACTGTATTGCTTCTGCTTGCATTGCCTGCATTGTCTGCTTCTGCTTCTGCAGTCCATGATCTTACCACGGCAGGATCTGATGTCTCTCTTCTGCCAACTAGGCCTTGGCCCTGGTAACACTGCCATGTTCTGAAGGTCAGCTGTACGTTCCCTGAGGACCAGGATTTAGAGCATCCCTGTCCCAGCTCCCCTCACGGTTCACACAGAACTGAGCAGAGGAAGGGATCTTCGTTTCCTTATCAGAGGCACACAGGACCCATGAATTCCCCCTCTAAGCCATTCCTTGGGGGCCCATAGAAATTTGGCAGCAGAGAGGTTAGTTGGTGCTCCTGGAATATTATAGATATCTAAGTTAGGTAGAAATTGTGTAGGCAGTCAGACAGGGCTGGGTCTTTGAGATGTCAATGCTGAAGACAATTGTGGCTGGAGGTGCATTCACTGAAGACCAGACTTCAGGAAAAAAGGAACTAATCACTCATATACTTTCCCTAGGGATGAACAGCAGTAATTGATATTTTAAGCAGGCATCAGTCACCTTGGTGTGGGGACCAAACCTCCTTAACCCACTCCTTCCACAAATGTTGTCTATCCTCTGAGTGCTTGCTATGTGACCTGCTTCTTAATGTGTTCTCCATTTAACCAATATTACCCATGGGCCTATACTTGTTATAACCTTATTGGTTCACCATAGTCTTGTCCCACCTCATACCCGCCTTGTGAATTCCCATTGGATCAATATTGCCTAAGTGACTATACTTGTAATCTTAATTGATTATAATTCTGTCCCACCTTGAGCCCAACTTACCTCATGGCTTTAGTCAATAAAACACTCCTGGGAAGTAGAGTTGATGGGCCATCTACTTTCTGGGCCCCCTTTTGTCCCTTTTAGACAGAAGCTTTCTTTCTTTCTTTCTTTCTTTCTTTCTTTCTTTCTTTCTTTCTTTCTTTCTTTCTTTCAGTGAATACAGCAAGATTTTATTGTCTTCACAACAAAAAACATGAAAAGTTAAAACTGGATCACTTGGCCCTTTCTTTTCTTATCTCCTCCCAGTTCAAAATGCTTGCATCTCTTAATAGCCAGCATTCTCTTGGATCTGCAGTTGGGCTCAACACACTCAAGTCTCAGGACAATCTTCTTTGTAGTTTTGGTCTTCTTCCGGAAAATTGGCTTAGTCTGCCCACCATAGCCACTCTGTTTCCTGTCATAACGCCGCTTTCCCTGGGCATATAGAGAATCTTTGCCTTTCTTGTACTGTGTCACTTTGTGGGGTTGATGCTTGTCACACGTCTTACAGAAAGTTCGCCAGGTTTTGGGAACATTCACCATGCTTGCAGGTGCACGAACAGCGAGGGAAGCTTTCTTTCTTGAAATAAATTCTTCCTACACTTATCCTCCATTGGTCCTAGAATTCATTTATTGATTGACAGAACACAGGCTCAGCCTTTTGGACGTCTAGCAGGTTGGGAGTTCTATTTTCCTCTATCAGATAGTCTGCCTCTGCCAGGTTAGCTCCCTGCTGCTTTGCACCCTCCCTCAGCATCTCTCCCTATCCCAGGGGAGCTGCCATTCCCTCCCAGAGCAGCAAGAGGAGCAGCAGATTGGATCTGGAGTCTCACTTTCAATGCAGTCTTATAATAAACTTGGCTGAGTCTGGACACTACAGGGAAGGTTCTGAAATTAAAATGTTAACAATACAGAGCACAGATCTGTATTATTTTAGATCTTTTAGATCTCTACCACTTATTTTTTCTACTCTTTAGTTGTTCTAATTGAAAGTCAGTTCCTACTGAGCACAACTTCCTTATTCTCAGTGGAACCCCTCTTGGAAAATAACAGAGACTTCAGTTTGAGAGGACAGAAAACTTGTAGGGAGCAAGAGGTGCTGCTGGGGATGAAATACTTACAGGTGGCACCATGAAACCAGGATCCTATGTATACTGCCAACATGAGAAGACTGAAAGGTGGACAAAGGAAAGGAGACTGGTGAGGGACTATGAGAACCAAAGAACCACAGAGCTGAGCTCCAGTTTCTCTATGCCTAGTGTGTCCCAGACTGGGTGCCAACAGCCATGGACAAAAGAAAGCCCAACAAAAGCCTGCCCTCACAGCCAGAGGACCAGGGAAATGACAGACTTGCAAGGCAGAAAACTTTTAGATGAACATGGTACTGCTTCAGTCAATACCATAGAAAAGGCCGAGTAAGCTTAGCCATGTTAGCAAGAATCCTCTGGCCCAGACACCTGGCTGAGTTCCTCAGTCATTTTCCATGCACTGCGGGCTGCAAGGCTCTTCTGCCTTGCTATGTCTGGGTTGGTTCAATCTTTCCTTACGGCATGAGTCTTGGATAAATTCTTCCTTGCCTGTTTAAATTCTGCCTGGTGCAGTTTTCCTTTGACAAAATGAATGCATCAAAATGGGGATACAGCTAGAGCAATGCTGAGATGGAATTTTATAGCACTGAAAAGGCTTATATGTAAGACTCAAAGCAATAGCTTAAGCTCCCAACTCAAGAACCTAAAGAATAAAAAGCAAAATAAGCCCAAATCAAGCAGAAGAAAGGAAAGAATTGAAGCCAATACATTGATAATAGAAGAACAATAGATAAAAATCAATGAAATATATAGATTATTATTTGAAAAGATCCATACAATGACAAAACTGTCACTACATTGATTAGAAAAAAAAGAAGAAATAGTATCAGGAGTTAAGTAGGAAACATTACTTAGATCCTACAGATGTCAAAAGGATAAGGGAATGCTATAAACCACTATACACAAACATGAATTTCACAACTTAGACAAAATGAATCAATTCCTTAGAAAAACTTATCATACTGGAAAAAATTAAAAATTAAAAAATGCAATGGCCAGGGAGTTTGTGGGGCAATGACATCATGTGGCACTCACCTATGAAGTACTCGTGGCATTCAGAGAGGTGAACACCAGCATGCCCTATGGTCAGCAAGGCTGGCGACACAGGGAGACACTGGCACACAAATATTCACTGCAGCATGGCCCTTCTCTGCATTATTTTTATCAGTGAAGTACTTGCAAATAATCTAGTACATTTCTCTAATGACACACCAGGTAGCAGCCAAGATGAGCGAACTAAAGCTTCTTTTGTCAACATGGATATATCTCAAAACAATGTAAAATGAAAACAGCAAATCATATGCAGATAAGTACAGTATGCTACTATTTATGCTAAGTTTAAAAGAGCATAAAGCCCATCTATTATTTAAGGAATATAGATGGCAAAATAAACTCTACATCTGGGACAGAAAAGGGCACCAACTTGGGAAGATCAGACCTGGGAAAGGAAGAACAGTGACTTTAATGCCTTCAAGGGACACATAAGTGCTGAGCTGGATGCTGGCTTCATGGATGTGCATTATACAGGCCTCCACACTTTTATTTAGAAAGAGGGGCACTTTACTGAGCTTTGTGGCAGCAGGAGGATGGGTCAAGCAAGGCCTCCTGAGGACACATCCATCTCCTGAGCAGAAACCAGAAGTACCAGGGAGTGGCCAGGCAAGAAGGCTGGGCTGAAAAAAGTGTTTAGGAATCTAGGGAACAAGGTAATAAACGGAACAAGGTAAAAAAAAGAGTATGGCCTGAAGGCCAGGGAGTGCCTGAGGGCTCATGGAATTATAAAACGTATCAAAGCATTACTATAGTAGACAAAATATTAATTTGGCTCCAACCCAGATCAGTAGAAAAACCTAATACAAGTATGCTACTGAAATAGTGAACATGTAGTTAGAAAAGTAAGTTAAGAGGGAAAAAATCAGTCACTAACAAAGAAATCAAATAAAAAATCCAGCTCAATAGGGCCCAGATTTTAATATTTCAACATAATATAGCTATAACTTTAAAAAAAAGGTTAAATACAAACCTAGAAGAAAAAGAAATTGGGACACTAAAGAACTTGTAAAAACATAACGTGAAAGGTCAGATATTTTGAATTTCATAACATTGATGAATTCTGAGCCAGCATCACGAGTGACCCTGCAGTGAAATGGGGCATTGACAAGAACTGGCCCTGCTGCTGTGGAAACCTTAGAAGGGACATCGAAAGCCATGTGTGATAAGGAGGGATTGGATGGAAGAATGCGGCTCCTGGCAGGGACAGACAGAGCAAAGGTCCTCAGAGTTCCCATGAGAAGGCCTTCCTGAGAGGTGCAGTAGGTGTAGGAGGGCCACACAGAGCAAGGGCTGACAGTGAGCCCTGGGGTATCTTAGGTGGAGGGGGAGGAGTCAGACTAAGTGAAGGCCGCATTTCCAGCTTGCACCTCAGGTGGCAGGCAGCACGGGGAGGAGGAATGGCCGTGCTGCCAGTGCATGATGATCCTTGTGATGATCCCAAACCAGATTTGAGACATTCGAAGACAGATTAGGAGTAGATCCCACATAGGGTTTTCCATTCAATAAGCAGTGCCCACATGTTCTAGGAACAGAGGTGCAGGTAAAAAGCTTGTGATCTTGCAAGGTAAACACTAGGAAATAGGCTATTACAGCCCAGTGTTTCGAGCACCATGTTTAGAGTACAGGGAAAATCAGGAGGGACACCAGTCTAAGGAGCTGGAGAGCCAGTGATTAGTGAGCCATCCTAATGCAGGAAAACAGTGGTCGTCTGGCAGCTCACGCAGCAACACAAGCAAACAGGGAGAGTATCAGACCAATGGAAGTTGCTCCCACACTAACAAGAGGGAGAAGCCAGCTAATCAATGAAATCATCATTTTACTGAGTCCATCAGAGAGCTGGGTAGTCCAAAGAGAACTGATTCTTGCATAAGTGAGAGAAAAGTAGCAAGGACTGGAGAAAACCATCCAAAGGATTAGGGAACATCGCTTATTTTGCACCTATTGCCAGGAATAGGACCTGTTCCTATTATTCTTGAAAAGCTCAGAATTCACAGACATTCTGCAGGAAAGGGTGGGAAGTAATTAGCTTTAGACAGACCATTTCTCTGGCCACAACAAGTCATAAAATCAAGATCAGAAAGGGAGAAAAATGTTTCCAAATAAAATACATACCAGAACAAAGCTCGAGCATTTTAATGGGAGTACAGAAGTATCCATTACCCAATCAAATACAATCTATAATGTTTCCCTGCACACAAAGGTTATCTGGCATGCAAAGGAACAGGAAAAGAAACTCATAGTAGAAGTAACCATGTACTGAAACTAACCAATAATGGACACAGATGTTGAAATTAGCAGGCAGGGACATTAAAATAATCATTACTCACTCAATAAATTGAAAAATTAAATACAGATTGGAAGATATTAAAAAGATACAAACTAAATTGCTAGAAGTAAAAATTATGTCTGATATGAAAATATGTGATAGGATTAATAATGGTTCCCACATGAAAAGATTGGTGAAATAAAGGACACAATAATATAAACTATTGGTTATAGTCTAGATCTTGATGTCCCCAAAGGTCTATATTTTGGAAGCTTGACTGTTAGCCTGTGGTGCTGCTAGGAGGGGCAGAACCTAAGGGAAAGAAATGAGGTCTCTGGCTGCATGCTCTGCAGGGGACACTGTCCTCTGCCTTACCAAGACCCCAAAGAAGCATGGTCAGGCCTTTATGATTGAAACCTTGATCCAGAATGAGTCTTCCCTCCTGCTAGGCTGCTTATCTCAGCTGGCTGATGCACCATCCAAAGGAAGGAAGAGAGAAGGAAGAAAGATGAGCATCATATAGATGAGGGATAAACACAAGTGGCCCAGTATTAAGGAAGTGGAGCCCCCCAAAGCAGAAGAGGAAAGAGAAAGGGGTTTAAATAATGTCCAGCAATTGTCCAAGTTTAGTGAAAATTATTGGCCCATAGGTCCCAAGACACTTAATGAATCCCAACCACAAGAGATGTGAAGATAGTATACCAATGTGTATCATAATCAAAATTTTCAAGACTAATGATAAAGAGAAAAAGCTAAAAGGTGCTAGAGAAAAAGATGGAAAAAAAAGGAGAGAGGCAAAGATAATAAGAATACAAACAAAGTAATATCTTCCAAGTGCTGAGAGAAAAAACAATTCTTTCAACTGAGAATTTTGTGCTTTGAAAAACTAACTTTCAAAAGTAAAAATGAGGCCAAGCGTGGTTGGTTATGCCTATACTCCTAGCATTCAGGAGGTTGGGACAGGAGGATTGCCAGGAGTGTAAGGCCAGCTTGGGCTACAACATGAGTTTAAGGCCAGCCTGAACTTCATAGTGAAACCTGTTTCAAAGAGACCAAAAAAAAAAAGAAAAGAAAAAAAAAGTGAAATAACAAATTTATATATATATAAAAAAAGAAGAGTGAAACAGATATTTCCA